AGAAGTTATTGATTATGACTGATGAATGCTTCATGAAAAAAATTCTGCCCTTTCGATGGGAGTGGGCAGCAGCAATGGTGTGAATGTCAAAATGACATACAATACTTTATATAATACCCACATATAATAATTTAATGTCAACCCAATGTATCCATTAACAGATATATTCTTGGGCCTCCTAACTGGGATTTCCAGTACACACTATAGCTCCACTATATAGAATTTAGTATACAGTAATTCTGGCTGCCATTTAAGAAGCATGAGACAAAAGACTTCATTACACTGGGGGGAAAAATGTCTGTGGTAATTTGTTTTTGTGAATTTACATTCTATGTCTGTACTTAACAACAGCAGGGTTAAAATACAGTATAGGTGTGGTTTATTTACATGTATTAAACTAAAAAAAACAGGTACTGATCATTAAAATTACAGTACTTTGACAGTGAAAATATAGCAAACAATAAACATTAAAACTAATAAAAGAAAAGATTACAGGATAATACAGAGGGATGCATGCACAGTATATTGAGTTACCTTAAACATGGTGGTGTTGTCTTGAAAAAGCAGGGCAAGATACTTATAGTCAGCATAAGCCCAGTACTCTGAAAGAGGGTAGGCAGTGAATGGACCCACAGATGAGTCACTGCTTCCCCGGGTCCAGCACAAAAACTCTGCAAGGGTTGCTTTGACATATGAGCATTCAGTTTCAAAAAGAGGAGCTGGAAAAAAAAGAAAGACAGAAATGAACTCAGACTAGAGGGCAAGAGAGAGAGATTGTTAGAAAAACTGCCATCAACAAGGCTTCAAAGACAATGTAATGCCAGCATCTGCTCAACTAAATGCAATGTTTATTGATTCAATACAATATTTGAGTGAAAAGCCCAATCTCTACAACCTGCATGTTATTATGAGGTTTTATTTATCCACTGCCTTTTACCTTTTGTAAGTGGATCTTTCAATTAAATCAAGAAAATGATTTGATTTGCTCTCCTATTAGCTTGAACAATGTGTCCGTTCCTGTATGTGAACAGCAATGATAATCTAGTGTGCTAAATTACTTCTTCTGAGTGGGTGTCTCTTGTCAGAAATCATCGCTGTAAAAATTGATTCAGCAGTCAAATTAACCAACACAGTATTGGAAGAAATGTCTACCTTTGTCATGCTGAGAGAGTGAATTATCTGGTCCTGCCATTGATGTACAGCAAGGAGAGCTCTGACAAACAGAGCTGTCTAGAATCTCGATTTCCAGCTTAAAGTTTACGGGTTTTTAAAAAGCTACTTAAATGGCAGGCTCAACTGAGGTGCAAATAAACCATATTCATGAACGCTACAAAGGTACATTTGCAACACATTTTTGTCTATTCAAATTGAAATTTGGTATTTGGTATATTTACTTACGAACCTTGTTTTTTTGTAAATGTATGCTCATTCCAAATTTGAGGCCTGAAACACATTCCAAAAAAGTTGGGACAGGAGCATGTTTACCACTGTGTTACATCTTCTTTCCTTTTAATAATACATAATAAAAGCTTGAGGTCTGAAAACATCAACTGATCCAATATTAAAGGCAGAATTTTTTTGCTGTTCTTCCATTATACAAGTTTTCAGCTGCGCAACCATATTGGGCCTTAGTTGTCGTACTGTGTGCTTCATAATGCACCATGTTTTCAGTGGCAGTGCAGTATAGCACACTCACTTTCTGATTACACAGCCATGTGCTCGCAACACGCAGAATGTGGCTTGCTGTTGACAAGTTTGCGATAAGCATGGACGTTCCTAAAAAATAAGTTGTCTAGAAAGCAGCACATATATCTGTCAGCATTAATAGTGATTTCACAGAGGTGCAAGTTACCCGTGCCATTGACACTAATACACCATCATACCATGACAGACTCTGGCTTTTGAACTTTATGCTGGTAGCAATCTGAATGTCCTTCTCTACTTAGGCCCAGAGAACATCATGTCCATTATTAAAAAAAAAACTAACTGAGAGGCTGACTCATCAGACCACTATACACATCTCCACTGTGTATTAGTCCAGATGAGTTTGAGCCCAGAGAAATCAGTGGTGTTTGTCAAAGTATTCCCAAGTCTATGCAGTGATATCTGTCACAGAAGCATGCCAGTTTTCAGTCTAGTCCCATCTGAAGAATTAAAGGTCACAGGTATTCAGGCTTGCACCTTACACACAGATTTCTTCAGATCTGCTGAATCTTATGATGACATGCAGGGTGAAATATCTGAAGTCAACAAAATCAATCAGCGAGGAATGCTGTTCTTAAAGTGACACAGTTTTGGAAAGTGGCAAGCCTTGACCCTTGCACATAAAGCACTAGGCCTTTCCTGGAGGCTCATCTTAGACCAAAGCATAAATGCACAACTTGTTTAAGATGTTTTTTTTTAACATTTCACAACATTCCTAGTCTTAAATTGTCCCTGTTCCAACCTTTTTTATGAAACATGTTGAAGGCATCAATTTGAGAATAAGCGAATATGTACAAAAACATTTTCTTGTCTTTTACTGTTTTTGTTTAAAGACAGGTTGAAGTGGATTCACAAATCACTAATTTCTGTTTCACATACTGTTCCAACTTTTCTGGAATTGAGGTTTGTATGTGGACACTTCAACATCACATCTCGTTACAAAATCATTAGCACTGATATGGAGTTATTCTCCCCTTTTGCTACAACAGCCTCCACTCTTCTGGGATGGTTTTTCACTAGACTCTGTAATGGCTGAAGCGCATTGATGTTGGATGATAAGACTTGGTTTGCAGACAACATTCCAATTCATCCCAAAGGTGTTTGATGGTGTTGAAGTCAGGACTCTGTGCAGCCCAGTCAAGATCTTCAACAATAAACTTAGCAAACCATTTCTTTATGGGTCTTGCTTTTCCACTTAGAGGTTTCCACTTCATAATAACAGGACCTTGGGGCCTGTTTACACTTCGCATTAACAAGTGTTTTTGGTGACTGGATGGCATTTGGCTTTCACTTGACTGCAGGAAAAGCCAGGTGTAAAAATTTTCAGGACACATTGTGATCAGATTACATTCGAATCACTCTATCCACATTCGGAGGAGGTCAGACAGATCTTGGCCACTTTTAACATGTTATCTGTATACAATTATGTTAGCAGAAATGCATCTGCTGACTGCCGACTAGCAGGTGTGAGAAAAACAATGAAATAAAAGGACACGTGAGGCTGAAGTTAGCCTCAAACCAAGTGTCTTCATGCACTCCAGGTTGACGAAAGCACCCAAGCCAAGCTTATTGACTCTCTTTGATATTTTAAAGGGGAAGTGTGTAAACATAAAAGTAAAACAGAAACGACATATGCGATGACATGCTTTTTACCTGGGAAAAGAACAACTGGCTCATCGGGGCACACTGGGGATGCATTTTAGTGAAAAGTGTACATGGAATCCAGTCAAAGTTTATCCAAGTACAATCCGGACACAAACCACACATTAATGCAAGGTGTTAACAGGCTCTTACAGTTGACTAGGGTAGCTCTAACAGGGCAGAAATTTGTCAAAGAGACTATGTGTGGCATCCTAAGACAGTGTTATGTTTAAAGTCACTGAGCTCTTCAGTATGATCCATAATGGAGACTTTATAACTTAAGTAATCAAACATTTTTAAAAATGACTGGTGCTTCTCCATTTGTTAGTCCGAATAAACAATATAAGCTGTAGTGCTTACCTTTCTCTTCACTCTGTTTCCCAATACGAAAGCACACAGACTTCTCTCCTAGACAGAGCGCCAAATGCTCCAGAGTCCACTCCCGTCCTGGCCAGTCATCGGTCATGTTTAGGAACACGGCTGGCTTATGCAGAAACTGGATTATCTTCTGCACCTCCTTTGGGCTGAAGGGTTTGGTGGCCATATCTGCAAAGATCACTGGTAACACTGGGAAGAAATATTGGGCCTCATTCACCAACCACTCCTAAGAAGAAATTTCTTCTTAAAACCCAATTAAGCAGTTCACAATGATTCTGACATTCACCAGTCTTTTCTTATTTGGGTTTCGTTGTTAGGTAAGAAAAGAATCTACACACACTCAAGAGCACAAAGCTCTGCGGTTTAAAAACACGTTATGTATCTGACATAGACCTTTCACAAGAACAAATTTAAAAAACACTTATTTTTTGGCGAATGACGCTCAATGTTTGGATTGTTCACATACAGACAAAACTCATTTCCTTTGACATTACCATTGTACAAACAGTAAGTGACGAAGACAGCAGTGTTTCACTTCTTGTGTGATCACATCTTAACACAGTATCGTCCTGTGTAATATATTAACATACAAGCTGAGTGAAACACCCAACAGTGCATCAATAAAAACATTTTTAACCACGTTACGAAGGCTGCCTTTTACGTTGTTCTCCTTTTTATGTTGGCCTCCAGGAAAACACCTGGCCTACATTCAAAATATATTTAAGAAAACCCTACATCCAGAGAATTGCCAACTAGCTATCACTGTTCTCCTGTATTTCCATTTACAATCAACAATACAGAAGTAAAAACAATATGACGTTGCAGAAAGAGAAACTGGTTTTCTGGTAAGAGAACTGCAGGCTCCGTTCAAGCCGTTTGTTTTGTCTTTACTGAGTCAATGGGCCCAATGAGGTACTTTTCGAAAGCAGGTCGATACTTTATTCACTTCCCTCTCTTTGTTTTTACACAGATTACAACTGAATGCGGCTGAAAGACCAAACAGTAACAAAACATAATCAAAACTCTCACATTATAACAGCTACACGTGTGTACACCCGTTCACTTTCCCAGAAACTACTTCCCGTTCATTTTTCTCGCTTGTAAACAAACTCACGTGAGGGGTAGAGCTGAGATTTTTATAAAAACGAACAGGAAGTGAAACAGCGGCCATCCCGGCTCTTCGAGCTCTGAAAATGCCTCTTTACTGAAGGACCACACAGATCCCACATGGCGAGCTAAGCGCTTCAGTTTCCAAACTCAGTCGTCATATCCGCTCGGCCGCGGCGCATGCGTGGTAAAGTTTGAACTGTGGCCGTGTTGACAGCGGCTGTTTTTGTTTCTTCTGTCGACCGACGAAGGTGTTCGGTCTGTATGTGTTTAACTGGTTCTTATCGGAGACTTAACCGAAGCGCACACAAACACAAACACAGACACAGCAGCAGCAGCACGTCGTGTCGATGGGTGCCGTGGAGAGCACGGAAGGGGAACGGGAGCCTCTGATCGCCCCGAGGCCGCCGGAGGAGCAGGGCGCTCAGCCCGTAAACACCAGCAGGGTGTACGGCAGAAGATGGGTGGTTCTTACTCTGTTCTCAGTGCTGGGATTTTTGCAAGGGATGGTCTGGAACACCTGGGGTCCGATACAGAACTCTGCCAAACATGCCTTCGGCTTCTCGTCGAAAGAAATCGCTGTGTTAGTGCTCTGGGGACCCGTGGGCTACATCCCCTGGCTCCTGTTTATGTGGCTCATGGATAAGAAAGGTGAGGGGTTTTTGTTCCAGTATAAAGCACGACCACCTGCCAGCACTACTCTCGACACTCTTTGGGTAGACAACTGTTAATTAAACGTTTCCTTTTGCGTGAGGAAGAGAAAAAAGAGCTTTAGCATATAGCCCGGCTTAACGGTAAATTCCACCGATTTTTCAAAATGTCTGCATAATTCCGTCGTCGCGATGTAAACAGAGTCATTCAGAGTGGTTTGATTTAAAATATTCGTTGTGGAGAAAATTACAGAGTCGGATTTCTTTACAGTGGTGATGTCAACAACACAAATATAGCGTTAGCTATTTCATTTACCATCCAAAACCACCAGTGAACCTACACGTGTCTTCTGAGTTTTTATAGTTAGGTAACGTTTATGATGGTAAAATAGTGGAAAATCTGCAAAAGTAGGTTTTCTTTGGGGACCATTTTGCCTTACCACCAACTGCATGTATCCCTCCGCCATGAACGCGTTAAAATGAATGGGTTAACAAGATGTTTTAGAAAACTTAATCACAACACTGTCGTAAAACAAAGTGTCACACATCAGTCTGTGTATTCATAACCATTTTGTGTAATACTTTTCTGTGAGGGAGCTTTTAGAGGCATTAAAGTCTTCAAACGCCTGCTTCTTATGACCACACTGTGAACAGTTCTGTAAGTTTCTTTAGAATGAAGCATTTCACACCAAACCAGTCTGAATGATTTTGTTTACATCGTAACCATTTAATTATGGTTTTAGAAATTTTGAAAAAATGGTGGAATTCCCTTTTACAGAGCCGATATTATGGAAAACGAAAAACATTCCTCTCTTTTGAGATATGAAACCCTTGTTTTTTTGCATGCACCTGTGTTTTCAGCCTGTAACAGTTTAGTTCCACTCATTCACATTGAAGTTTTAAGGAGTGTTTCTTTTTGAGTCTTTTTGAATGAGGCACAATACAGGACACCAGAATCAGAAAACAGCTCAATTACATCTGTCAGTCGTAAAGGTATAACAAAACAGCCTGTTTGATTCTAAGAGATAAAGAAATGTTGGACAGTGGTCTCTTAAAAATGTATTATGATGTTTGATGTATAAAACCATGAAAATGTCATAAGTGCACCTCAGAGGAAAAATAATATATACAAAAAAATGTAGGATTTGAGCACTTTAACCACATAATAAACCACAGTGATTGGATATGATTGGCAAAGCTTTTTGCTAAGATTTGATTAGCCACTATAAGCCATCTATAAGAAGACAAAACACGTCATTCACCAGCCGTTCTTCAGAAAAAAATCTTCCTAAAACTCACTCTTACATTCACCAGTGTTTTCTTATTTGGGATTTGTTCTTGGGTAAGAACAAAATCTACTCACTCTCAAGAGCGCAAAGGTGTGAACAGTTATGGGGTTTAGGAACACATCATGAATCTGACGAAGACTTTTTCTTAGTATCTTTCTCAAGAGCAAATTTAAGCAAAAACTTGAATGAGGCCCATTATATTTCACTCTAGACCAGACAAAAGCATGTACAAAAACACTTTAGTGACACTTCAGCCTCTTCTGCTACTTGACTTCACAAGAGTGCTCCAGAAACTCCTTAGTAAGAAATAAATAAATAAGACAAACTTTCCTCTTTTTTTTCCTGTTGTTTACGCAAATCAAAACAGATTTATACCAACTTAAATGTATAAATAAACTCACAGTTTCAATGAGAGCAGTGTGATAAGACAAAGGCTGTGCTGTTGACTTTTCCAGCACAACAATTGTCATCCTGCACTTTGTTAGTAATGTCTCCAGAAAAGATAAAGATAAATGTAGGCCATGTAGCAACATTGGAATAGGCTTATCAGTGCTAAGTCAGTGCTTTCTTTAACATGACTGTGCTAGATTACTTGGGGATACTTGAGGCATGTTATGGCTAGTCTTCTCCCATCGAACAGGCTATCACGTTGGAATTTCACAAAGGACGTTGCATAGTTTAGTCTACATGTCATACAAATGTTCAGGTGATGGAAGTTCTTGTTTTACTAAAGCGACATGGTAACCATAAAAACTGCTGACAATTGCTCTGTCACAAAACCAGTTCCACATAATCACGAGGAAGGTAATGCGTTTAAAATGGCAGCACTCCCCTTTCATGAAACATTTAATGAGCCTCTGTTACGTGGACTTTAAAGTGTCCTTGAAAGTTGAATAAACTCAGTTTGAAGAAAAATGTAAAGAGAGTCAGTCACCAGGGAAGATTACATAATCAAATGAGCATGACTCCTCTTTGGTCTTTCCAGTTACACCCACACATGGGCTAAGCAGTGGAATATGTAAAGATACAGATGCCACTGTTCCTCTGAAAGTTCTCAGGACCCTCCACCACATTGAGATCACAGGTCTCCATATGCCCTTTGATTTACTGGGAATATATGGGGATGATCATGCTGCTCGCTCAGCACAAATTAAAAACTGTCATAGAAGGGATGCTGGCTTTTAGAGTTTATTGAACATACTGGTGATTCTGTTTATGTAATAAAAAGACAATATCCATGTGGATCAGTATATTTCTGGAATATTTTGGCCTGTCACAATTATAACAATCACTGGATCGCAATTATTTTCACAATCCTGTGCTTATGGTACAACAGAAAGTGAATTGAGGCAATGAATGTAAATAAAATAAAGCAGAAAATACGTCTTAAGAAAATAAAAGTTCTAACTTCTGACTTTCTGCTATAATACATTATAGAAGGCAGTGATGAGTAATGTTTGTTTATATGCATGCAATCTTTCAGTCATCGGTTGAGAACTACTAAATAATAACAGCTAGAAAGCAGAACAACTAATCTGGCCACTTTAGGCTCATAACTTAAGAGTTGAACAAAAAAAGACTTAAAATCAAAAATGACTTTTGACTTTGAATCAAAATTACAACCCCATTTCCAAAAAAGTTGGGACACTGTGCAAAATGTAAATAAAAACAAAATGCAATGATGTGCAAATCATTTAAACCTTATATTTCATTGAAAATAGTATAAGGACAACATATCAAATGTTGAAACTGAGAAATTCTATTGTTTATTGAAAAATATTTGCCCATTTTGAATTTGATGCCAACAACACATTCCAAAAAAGTTGAGATGGGGGTAACAAAAGGCTGGTAAAGTTATGTAATGCTAAAAAAACACCTGGTGGTTAATTGGCAACAGGTCAGTAACATGATTGGGTATAAAAAAGCATCCCAGAGAGGCTGAGTCTGTCAGAAGAAAAGATGAGGAGGGGTTCATCTGTGAAAGTAAATAGTGCAACAATTCAAGTGCAACAATTCAAGAATAACGTTTCTCAACATAAAATAGCAAAGACCTTTTGCTTTTCATCATTTACGGTACATAATAACATTAAAAGAGTCAGAGAATCTGGAGGAATCTCTGTATGCAAGGGACAAGACCAAAAACCAGTATTTCCTGGCCGAGATCTTTGGGCCCTCAGGCGCTGCGTTAAAAACAGACATGATTCTGTAGTGGAAATCACTGCATGGGCTCAGGAACACTTCTGAAAAACACTGTCTGTGAAAACAGTTTGTTGCTGCATCCACAAATGCAAGTTAAAACTCTAAAATGCAAAGAAGAAACCATATAAAAAGGATCTGGACCCGAGCTCATTTAAAATGGACTGAGTTGAAGCAGAAAGTGTCCTATGGTCCAATGAATCAACATTTGAAATTTTTTTTGGAAATCATGGACGCTGTGTCGGCCGGGCTAAAGACCACTCAGCTTGTTATCAGTGCACAGTTCAAAAGCCAGTATTCATGATGGTATAGGGGGGCATTAGTGCACATGGCATGGGTGACGTGCACATCAGTGAAGGCACCATTAATGCTGAGCGATATATACATGTTTTGGCAACATATGCTGCCATTCAGACGACGTCTTTTTCAAGGAAGGCCTTGATTATTTCAGCAAGACAATGCCAAACCACGTTCTGCATTTATTACGAATTATGAAATGAAAAATACGACAAGTGGGACCCCGAACCATTGAGCAGCTGAAATCCTATATCAAGCAAGACAGGGAAAACATTTCACTTTAAAAACTACAGCAGGTAGTCCCCTCAGTTCCTGAACGCTTAGAGTGTTGGTAAAAGAAGAGGTGATGAAACACAGTGGTAAACATGTCCCCGTCCCAACTTTTTTGGAACATGTTGGCATCAAATTCAAAATGGGTATATATTTTTCAAAAAACAATCAAATTTCTCAGTTTTAACATTTGATATGTTGTCTTTGTAGTATTTTCCTTCAAAAAATGGTTTACATGATTTGCACATCATTGCATCCTATTTTATTTACATTCTGCACAGTGTCCCAACTTTTTTGGAAATGGGGTTGTATTCATATAGCAATTAATTGTCAGCTGCAATGTCATGATTGTGACAGGCCTAGGAGTGGCCTCTGTGTAACATTTCTTAAACACAGCATGTACCAGCTGCATTAGCAGAACTTTGAAGGGAGATCATCTCTCACTTCTTCATTAATTGCATAAAAAAATCTCACGGTATACTGGTTGCAATATGCAGCTGAAAGCAAGAGGACTTTCATTATGAAAGTCTTCTGATAATTTCCTCTTTTCTCAAAACTGGGGTCTACTTTTGTAAAATGGTTATTTCTCAGAACGTTTACAGCAGCATTGTAATTACTCACTGTGGGAGGACGTTACCACAGGAAGCTTTTAAGGAGCTCTAGACTGCAGTGCAGTTGACAATGCAGTGCATATTATTTCAGCATAAAGAGCTGTAATTAAAGGATCTTTACACATAAATGCATGTAAACCCTCACAAATCTTGGCATCCCCCATTCTTTCTTTCTTTGTCTCTCTCTCTCTGTCTCTCTGTCTCTCTGTCTCTCAGATATACACATCATTTTTGGCTAACCAAAAATGTAGGGGAGAGCAGGGTTGCAATCAGTTGGCACAACATTAAAAGGCTTTAATTTCAAAAGATGAAACAACAGCTCAAATTAAATACATCTT